GGTCCCTGACCCCATCGCGAGCGCCGCCTGCGGACCAAAGGCCAAGGCCGCTGGGGCCACTCGGCGTGCGACCCCGTAGCGCCTGGGGGCGGGGAGCCGGCGTGCAGGCGGAGCTCGCCTCGGCGCGCCTATTGGCTAGAGCTGACGTCCGTCCGGACCCCGAGGCCCGACCATTGGCTGGTGGGGGCGGAGTTCGCGGAGCCCCAATGAATGGGGGAGCCGGAAGCAGGAAGTGAGTTTGCGATCGGAGCAGCTGCTGCAGGTGAGGCACGGCGCCCGGGATTCGGGGTCACAATGTGTGTCATACTCGAGGGACAGGGCGAGCCTGGACCGAGCGCAAGATCATTCCCTTTTTGCCCCGCCTCTCCATCCAGTACCCTTTCCAGATTCATCGCGGCCCCATGGCCAAGGAGCGCTCAGGGCAGCTAAGGGTTAACGCCCCTTTCAGAACCCAGGGTGTTGTGCTATTCGGGGGCAGGATCGGGAGTGTTGGGGGAGGTTGGAAACTCAGTCCCAGCAAGAGAGGGCGTTGAGAAGAAAACCCTGGGTTGGGAGATACCCAGGTCCCAACGGAGCAGTGAGACCTTCGGTAAGTTCATTGGCCTCGCTAAGCCTCAATCTCCGTATCTGTAAAATGTGTATTCTTCCGGCGCGAAACTTCTGTGGCTTGGTATCTCCCCTGGCTGAGCGCAGGAAGAGGGCAGGAGGGCGCAGGGCCGAAGAAATGGCAGTTAGAGGGATGAAAGTGGAACAGATCCGTGGAGCAGTGAGAGAGGAAGAGTCCAGGAAAATAATTTACTACTGTAGATACACGCCGTCAGATGTGACCTTATCTAATCTGCACACCCACCCAGTGAAGTTTGGGTTATTATCAAGCCTATCATACATAGGCGGAAATCGATGCGCAGAAAAGTAAAACAGTTGACTTGATATTAGGAGTCTCTGGCTGAGCCTGGATTGGAACTTGGATCTTCCAGCTGGGACTCTGTCCATGTGAACACACTGGTGGGCAGGATTGAAGAATCTGCAGGAGAATTCTGAAGAGGAGGCTAGGAGGTTAGAGTAGGAAGAGGGGAGACCAGGCCTAGGCTGGGAGTCTAGAGATGCAGATCTCTGTTTCTGACCCCTCCCTTAGGTTACTGGGCAAAGCTCCTAGCCCCTCTGGACCTGTTTCCCTGTCTGTAATACTAGGTAGTTGGGTTCAGTCTTTAAGTTTGAGAGGCACAAGCCAAACTTTGCCCACCAATATATTTTGTAATTTCCTTGGGTGAGTCACCTAACCTTCTCTGAGCCTGTTAGCATAGCTGGTGCATGGGGACAATGGGATTCCCTTCTTCATGGGCTTTTAGGGAGGATTAAATGAGACCATGAGCATGCAGAGCCAGGTGTGCAGTTGGCATGTGAAAAATGATGGCTGTGATCTTGGTGATGGTTCTCAGCAGGGCCCATGGCGGACACCCAGTACATCCTCCCCAATGACATCGGTGTGTCTAGCCTGGACTGCCGTGAGGCCTTCCGCCTGCTGTCACCCACAGAGCGCCTCTATGCCCATCACCTGTCACGGGCCGCCTGGTATGGAGGCCTGGCTGTGCTGCTGCAGACCTCTCCTGAGGCCCCCTACATCTATGCCTTGCTCAGCCGCATCTTCCGTGCCCAGGACCCCGACGAGCTGCGCCAGCATGCCCTAGCTGAGGGCCTTACCGAGGAGGAATATCAGGTCAGTTCTCTCAGGCCAACCTGTATTTCCTGAGTGGCTTCTGGGTGTGAGGGGCCAGGAAGCAGGGATACCAAGGACTTTCTCTCTTTGGATTAGGCCGAAGATGTCAAACACAGGAACATCCCCCTCCTGGAGTTTCAGTCTTCTCATCTGCAAACTATGCATGAGGGTAGTCTGTACCTCTTAGGGTTGTAGTGACCTGACTCCAAGATAAATGGTGGCTGCTGTGATTATAACAAGGGCTGTGGATTAAAGGAAACAGCTATGGAGATTCAGAGATGGTAGAGGAATTAGTCCAGTGTAGGAATCAGGAGGTCTGAATTCTGGACCGAGAACTTCCTCTACCATGTTGTGTGTCCCTGGGCAGAATGTTCTGCCTGTCCTCTTGTTTTTGTTTGATTGTGGGCCTACTGACCAAGTAATACATGAATGCATTCTTAATGCATTATAGCAATGTGGAAAGACACAAAACAAAACACGAAGATCATTCATTCTCAGTGCCCTCCCCAGAGGTAATCACCAAAGAAGGTGCAGTGTATAGTCTTTTCAGTCCTCTGTCGGTATCGCATACCTATACATGTGTTCATGGTCCTTATTTTCTCTTTTTCATATGAGATCACACTCTACATATTCTTGCGAGTTCTGCTTTTCCCATTGAACACCATGTCTTGGAGAACTTCTATGGGGTACAAATAAATCCACCTCATTCTTTTTTATTGACTGTGAAGCATTCAGAGCAATGTACACTGCAATCAGTTTAATCTTTTCTTTATCGATGGATATTTAGATTGCTCGCTATTCTTACAAATGATACCACAATGAGCATACTCTTGCACGTGTGTGAGGAGGACCTATTTCTCAAAGCAGAATTGCTAGGTCAAAGGCTCTGTACATTTACAATTGGTGCTGTTAAATCATCCTCTAAGAAAGCTTCACCAAGAATGTATGAGGCTATGGTCTGTTTTTCTATATGTAAAATAAAGGGATGGATTGCTTATCTCTGAGTGGAGGCCCAGGCTGTTTCTTCTACATTTTTTGAACTTTGAGTAGTCACATCCCATCTCTAGGCCTTGATTTACTCATTAAAAAAGCTAATGCCTGGGAAAGTGGGACAAATGCTACCCAAGTATTAACTATTTTCAGTAGAATTCTTTTGTTCGTAGGTAGCAGAAACCCACCTCAAATTGGCTTAAATGAAAAAAAATCATGACTTCCAGTTTCTGGTCTGGCGTGTGAGGAGCTTAGATGACACCCATCTGTTCTAACAACAAGTAAAAAGCTGAAGAAACTGAAAAATCAACAACTCTTCTTAGATCCTTAAAAGAAGTGAGGTCATAGGGCAAACCCCCCAAATTGGAAAAGACAGACAGGCAGGTACAGAGAATCACAGTTTACCACAGCAAAAATTCAGGAGCAGAAACCTCCACAGAACCAGTGTTGGTGTAGGAGAACCTGAACTGTAATTGATGAATTGCTGGAGGCTCAGTGTAGAAAATTCTGAGAGTTAAAAACTCTAGGGGGACCCAGTCATAAGGGGGTCCCCACACTTTTGGGGATTTTACCTCCAGCAGCTTGACCTGGTTCTCACAATGAATTTCAGAGAAAAAAAAATCCCTCATGCTTCTTGCGGAAGGAGAGAAAAAAGAATCATTTTTGAAATAGGCTAGAACATTTTGTTCTTCTTAACATGATCTTCCCTCAGGAGGAACTATTTGACCGGAACCAAACCTGCTAGCGTTTTATCAGAGCCTAACTGATCTAAAAGAAGGGAAATACCCAATTCCAGACAGCTCTGAACATTCTGTCCCACCTAAGGGGAGTGGTGGGGACGTAGGACTTAGAAATACATGTGAAGTTCACAGTCTAGAGGCAAAGGCTCACTAAGAGACTGAAACCTAATAATGGGACTCTGGAACACTTCCCCTGCTCCCACACCTTACCACCACATTACTGAAGGCATATTTGTGGCTATTCCTTTTACCCAGTACATTGTGTCTGGCTATCAAGAAAAAAATTACAAAACATTCTAAAAGGCAAAAAACACAGTTTGAAGAGACAGAGTGAGCATCAGAATGAGACTTAGATATGGCAGGGAGTTGGACTTATCAGACCCGAAATTAAAATAACCGTGATTAATATTCTAAGGCCTCTAGTGGATAAAGTAGACAGCATGCAGAAAAAGATAGGCAATTTAAGCAGAGAGATGGAAATTCCAAGAAAGAGCCAAAAATGCTAGAGATCAAAAATCACTAGCAGAAATGAAGAATGCCTTTGATAAGCCTATTAGTAGACTTGACACAGCTGAGGAAAGAAACTGAGCTTGAGGATGTCTCAGCAGAAACTTCCAAAACTGAAAAGCAAAGAGAAAAAAGATTGAAACAAAACAAAACAAAACAGAATATCCAAGAACTGTGGGACAACTACAAGGAGTGTAACATACATATAGGGGTAAAACCAGAAGGAAAAAGAAAGAAACAGAAGAAATATCTGAAAGTAATGACTGAGAATTTCCCCCAATTAATGTCAGATACCAAACCACAGATCCAGGAAGTTCAGAGAACACCAAGTAGGATACTAAATGCAAAACAAAAAATAAAAAACAAATAAAACCTACATGTAGGTATATCATTTTTAAAACTACAGGAAATCAAAGAGAAAGAAAAAAAAATCCTAAAAGAAGCCAGAGGGGAAAAATATCTTATCTACAGAGGAGCAAAGATAAGAGTGACATCTGACCTTCCAGAAACCATGCAGGCAAAAAGAGAGTGGGCTGAAATATTTACAGTGTTGAGACAAAATCTACCAATCTAGAATTCTGTACCCTGTGAAATTACCCTTCAAAGTGAAGTAGAAGTAAAAACTCTCAGACAAACAAAAATTGAGGGAATGTGTTGCCAGTTGACTTCCTTTGCAGGAAATTTTAAAAGATGTTCTTCTTCTTTTTTCTTTAATGGAGGTACTGGAGATTGAATCCAGAACCTCGTGTATGCTAAGCATGCACTCTACTGCTGAGCTATACCCATCCCCCAAAATTTCTTTAGAGAGAAGGAAAATGATATAGGTTAGAAACTCAGATCTACATAAAAAAAGGAAGAGCACTGGAGAAGGAAGGAATAAGTGAAGGTAAAATAAAAACTTTTATTGTTCTTACTCTTAATTGATCTAAGAGGTAACAGTTTGTCCAAAATAATAATAGTAACGACATATCCAACTATGTATGCTTATGTATAGTGAAATGAATGACAGCAGTGATATGAGGGAGGGGAGGCATGAATTTGGATTGTTTTGTTATTATAAGGTACTCAAACTACCCATGAAGTGGTATAGTGTTATTTGAAAGTGGACTTGGATTAGTTGTAAAGGTATAGTGCAAACTCCAAGTCAACCACTAAACAAAGCAAAAAAAAAAAAAAAGTACAACTGATATGCTAAGAAAGGAGAGAAAATGGAATCATATAAAAGGTTCAGTTAAAACCACAAAAGGCAGAAAAAGAACGGAAGACAGGTGCCAGCGTGATGGCTCTGGTGAAAGCCCCCTTCCAGGTTGTAGACTGCTGACTTCTCACTGTGTTTTCACATGATGGAACATGTGAGCTAGCTTTCTGGGGTCTCTTTTGTGGGGCACTAATCTCAATGACAAGGGCTATGCCCTCATGATTTAATCTCTTTCCAAAGGCCCCGCCTCCTAATATTGTCACTTTGGAGGTTAGATTTCAACATATTGATTTTAGAGGGACACAAACATTCAGATCATAGCAATCGATAAACCTCTAGCCAGGCTAACTAAGAAAAAAGTGAGAGATCACAAACTACTATCACTACTATCACAAACTAATGTCAGAAATGAAAGAAGGGACATCACTACAGATCCATGGGCATTCAGATGATAATCAAGGAATACTGTGAAAAATTTTATGCCCACAAATTTGATTACCTATATGAAATGGACCAATTCCTTGAAAGCCATAAAATGCCAAAACTCACACAAGAAGAAATGATAAGCTACCTAGGCCTATATATATTAAAGAAATAGAATCAATAATTAATAAATAACCTTCCAAAACAGAAAACACTAGGCCCAGATAGGCTTACTACCAAACATTTAAGGACAACATTATATCAATTGTCTACAATCTCTTTATGAAAAGGGTGGGGGGGATGCTTCCTAACTCATTGTGTGAGGCCAGTATTAACCTAATACCAAAACCAGACAAAGATTACAATGAAAGAGAAGAAAACTACAGACCAATATCTCTCATGAACATAGATGCAAAAATCTCAACAAAATATTAGCAAATTGAATCCAACAATGTATAAAAAGAACTATGCACCATGACCAAGTAGGGTTTATCCCAGGTATGCAAATCTGGTTCATCATTCAAAAATCAATAAATGTAATTCATCACATCAACAGGCTAAAGAAGAAAAATCACATGATCATATCAGTAGATTCAGAAGAAATATTTGGCAAAATCCAACACCCATTCATGGTAAAAACTGTCAGTAAACTAGAAATCCTACAGGTAACATCATATTTAATGGTGAGAAACTGAAGCTTTCTCACTAAGATCAGGAATAAGGCAAGAATGTCCCCTCTCACCACTACTTCTTAACATTGTACTAGAAGTCCTAGTTACTGCAATAAGAAAAGAAAAAGAAATAACAGGTATACATATTGTGAAGGAAGACATAATACTGTCTTTGTTCACAGATGACATGATTGTCTATGTAGAAAATCTGAAAGAATCAACAAAAAACTCCTAGAATAAGTGATTATAGAAAAGTTGCAGGATGCTAAGTTAATACATAAAAGTCAATTGCTTTCCTATATTCCAGTGATGAATAAGTAGAATTTGAAATTAAAAACACAGTACCATTTACAATAGCACCCAAAAAAGTTGAAATACTTAGTCGTAAATCCAACAAAAAGTGTATAAGACTTATATAATCACTACTACAAAACTCTGATGAAAGATACCAAAGAACTAAATAAATGGAGAGAGATTCCTTGTTTATGGACAGAAAGATTCAATATTGTCAGGATGTCACTTCTCAACTTGATCTATAAATTCAGTGCAATCCCAGTCAAAATCCCAGCAAGTTATTTTGTGGATGTTGACAAACTGGTTCTAAAATTTACATGGAGAGTCAAAAGACTTAGAATAGCCAACACAATAATGAAGAAGAACAAAGTTGGAGGGCTGGTATCACTCTAGGTTCAAGAGTTATTATAAAGTTACAGTAATCAAGGCAGTGTGATATTGGCAAAAGAAGAGACAAATAGATCAGTGCAATAGAATAGAGAGCAGAGAAATAGACCCCCATAAATATAGTCAACAAGTCTTTGACAGAGAGTAAAGGCAATACAATAAAACAAAAATAGTTTTTTCAATGAACGGTGCTAGAACAATTGGACATATACCTGCAAAAAAAAAAATCTAGACACAGACCTTACATCCTTCACAAACATTAACTCAAAATGGATCACAGGCTTAAATGCAAAACTATGAAACTCCCAGAAGATAACATAGGAGAAAATCTAGATGACCTTGGGTATGGAGGTGACTTTTTAGATATAACATCAAGCATGATCCCTGTAAGAAATCATGGGTAAACTGAACTTCATTAAAATTAAAGTTTTCTGCTCTGTGTAAGCTATTGTTAAGAGAATGAAAAGATAGGTACAGAGGGAGGGTATAGCTCAGTGGTAGAGCACGTGTTTAGCATGCACGAGGTCCTGGGTTCAATCCCCAGTGCCTCCATTAATAAAACAAAAGAAAACAAGCAACCTGATTAAGCAATGGACCGAAAACTTTAACAGATATTTTACCAAAGAAAATATACAGATGGCAAATAATCACATAAAAAGATGCTCCACATCATATGTTATTAGGCAATTGTGAATTTAAAAAACAAGATACTGCTGTATACTTATTAGATTGGCCAAAATCCAAAATGTTGACAACACAACTGGCAAGGATGTGAAACAGTAGGAACTTCTGTTCATCACTGGTTGGAATGCAAAATGGTCCACCACTTTGGAAGAGAGTTTGGCAGTTTCTTACAAAACTAAACACACTCTTGCCGTATGATCCAGCAGTCTTGCTCCTCGGTATTTACCAAGGTGAAAACTTGAAGTGAAAATTATGTCCACACAAAAACCTGCAAGTAATTTTTATAGCAGCTGTATTCATACTTGCCAAAACTTGGAAGCAACCAAGATGTCCTTCAGTAGCTGAATCAATAAACAAACTGTAGTACATCAGACAGTGGAATATTATTTCGTGCTAAAAAGAAGTGAGCTTTCAAGCCATAAAAAGACATGGAGAAAGTTAAACGCATATTACTAGGTGAAAGTAACCAACCTGAAAAGGGTACCTACTGTATAATTCTGACTGTATAGTATTCCAGAAAAGGCAAAACTATGGAGATAGTGAAAAGATCAGTGGTTGCTAGGCATTGGGAAAGAGGATGGAGCACAGGATTCTCAGGGCAGTGGAACTACTCTGTATGATACAGAGTAATGTATCCATAATGGTAGAGAGATGTCATTATATATCTATCCAAACCCATAGAATGTACAATACCAAGAGTGAGCCCTAATGTAAACTATGATCTTGGGCAATGAGGTGGCAGTGTAGGTTCATCAGCTGTAACAAATGTTCAAGTCTAGTGGGGATATTGAAATGAGGGAGGCTGTACATGTGTCAGGGGTAGAGGGCTTTGGGGTGATCTCTGTACCTTCCATTCAATTTCACTGTGAACCTAAAACTGCTCTATAGAATAAAGTCTATTTTTTTTAAAGGGAGAGAATTATTGGCTCACATAATTGAAAAGTCCAGGGCTGGGGAGGCTTCAGGCACAGCTTCAGGAGCTCAGTGATACAACTGTGAGGCAGTCTTCATCTCTCAGCTTTGCTTTCTTTCCTCACTTCGGTAGGGCAGCTCCAGGGGCTTCAGGTTTGATGATTCCTGGTGTAAAACAGAGGCTCTCTGCCACTGGGAAGTTTCCTGGTAGGGCTCTTACTGGCCAACTTGGGCCTATGCCCACGCCTGGAGTTGGGGAAGGGAGATTTCCCCGCATCCCAAAAGGAAGATGTGAGGTTTTGTTGCCAGAGGAAGGAAGACTAGATTTGGGGCCAGCAGAAGCCATCGAGTAGTTGACCAAGGCCCCTCCAGCCTTAATATAATATTTGATACTTCTGGTGACAGCTGCCTGCCAGGTTGGGGACTGAGGACAAGCTTCTGCAGAAGAAGGTGGTGTTCGCACTTGGCCTTAAATGTCATATGAGATAGCTGCAGGTGGCTGGCAGTGTGCCGATGTAAAGGGAACAAAGGTAGATGAGGGCTTAGGTGTGTTTGGGAGCTGCTGAGAAGACCAGGTTGGCTGGACAATGGATGTATGAAGATTGGTCTATGAAGGTGTATTGAGGCCGACTGGGGCCTCCAAGGGTGTGAGTGCTGCCCCCAGATTTCCCAGCCTCCCCCATACTGCCTTCTCTGGGGCGTTAACATCCGTGGGGCAGGGAGGCTGTGCTGCCGGCTTCTGATGCCACCTTCCCCCAGGCGTTCCTGGTCTATGCTGCGGGCGTCTACTCCAACATGGGCAACTACAAGTCCTTTGGCGACACCAAGTTTGTTCCCAACCTGCCCAAGGTGAGCTGAGAAGGGCTGGGGAAGGTGGGGAATGTGGGGCTGGTGGGATAGGGGATGGAGCAGATGGAGCCCCTGTGGGAGTGGGACCCTGAGTGGAGCCTTGACCCTGTCACTAGCCTTGCTGGGTGCTGCAGCCTCCTTCCGACTGTGCTGACCCAAGGGGCGAACAAGGGGAGGGCTCTGTGCACTGTTAGGTGCTTGCAGAAATGACACCTGTTGGTCACCCCTGGGGACAGTGGAGGAGCCTGGGAACAAGGAGTCCCTCCCCAGAACCATGGGACTCGGGCTGTCTATGGCAGAGGCAGCTCTTACACCAGGGCTCTCAGCCCTTACTATGATCACAAATTGCCTGGCAGTCTTGCTGAAATGTAGCTTCTGACTGAGAAGGCCTGCGATGTTGCATGAGGTTCTGCGTTTCTCAGGCAAAGCCAGTGTTGCTGGTCCATCGACTGCACTTTGAGCAAGAAGATCTTGTGGGAGAAGAGCTGGGAGGTGGGTGTGGGGCCCCAGGATGCAGGTTCGGGTGGTGTGGCCAGGTTGATGGCTTCCCTTCCCCCGCAGGAGAAGCTGGAACGTGTGATCCTGGGGAGTAAGGCCGCTCAGCAGCACATGGAGGAAGTCAGGGGCCTCTGGCAGACCTGTGGGGAGCTCATGTTCTCTCTGGAATCGAGGCTTCGGCACCTTGGGCTGGGGAAGGAGGTGAGGCCCCAACCGCACTAGGGAGTAGAGGGCATACTTGGAGGCCGCCTGGTGTGGAGAGAAAGGCACCAACGGGGAGGTGGTGGACTGTCCCTCATTCGCCCGAGACAAAGTTGCTCTTCACTGCGGCCCTCAGTGTTGTCACCTGTAAGCAGTTTGGATGGAATGCTTTCTGCATGCCCTCCCAGTTCCGAGGATGCTGTGTGCAGGAGGCAGGAAAGAGAGAAGAGCTGGTAGCTGGAGGGACTGAGGAGGGGGGATGGGAAAGGAGGGGGCCCCAGCTTCCCACCTCTGGAGGCTGCTTGGGAGCTGCATGGGGTGAGGGACACAGCAAACCTTTGGGGTGGGCTGGCCTGTGAGAGGCTGGAGCAGAGCTGCAGGAAGGCTGGAGGTGGACCTCTGTTTGTTGTTTGCGTTATAATTTTTTCCCCTGGAAAGACATGGAGGAGGACAGTGGAGGCTGCTGAGAGGAGGTGCAGGAGGCCTGAGGCTGGAGAGGGTGGCTGGGAAGAAATTCGCCAGCTTCCCCTGCGGCCCCCAATCTCAGCAACTCCTATTTCCCATCTGCCTCTTCCCTGACAGGGTATCACCACCTATTTCTCTGGGAATTGTACCATAGAAGATGCCAAACTAGCCCAGGACTTTCTGGACTCACAGGTTTGGGGGTTGGGGAACTCGGGACAGTGGTTTGACGGGGTCCCCTTGACACTGGCGCCCACTCCTGGGTCTCATATTGGGCCCTGAGGCATGGGCGTCTTGGGTCCTTGAGGTGGAGAAGACTTGGGAATCCTCATCTGAGGGTCAGCCTGGCTTGAATGAAGGTGTCCCCATGTGTGCCCTGATGGAGCGGCCCCCACCCCATGCCAGGCTGAAGGGCTTTGTTACAGCCTCAGGGAAGGATGACACAGAACATCACAGCCGCTTCTGTTAGGCTCTGGTGTCCATATGTTGGTTTCCCTTCCCAGCTCAGCCACTCAGCCTTTCCTGTAGCCCCCGGATTAACTGAGGTCACACGGTACCTGGCATAGTTGAATTAGCACTTAGTTAGTGCTCAGTGTAATGAGCAGAGCAGGAGTCTACCCTGGCCTGCCCACCCCGCTCTCTCCCCTCCCAGGCCCCATTCTACTTTGCCTCTGTATCTTCTTCCTGGGGTGACCCACTTTCCCTCCCCCCATTCCACAGCCCTCTCTGGACTTACTCTCCCCCAAACCCCTACACTGGTCTTTTCCAGAACCTCAGTGCCTACAACACACGACTCTTTAAGGAGGTCCGCCAGGATGGGAAGCCCCACTACGAGGTGCGGTTGGCTTCCGTGCTCAGCACAGGTGAGCTCATGCCCTTTCTACTCTGTCCTCGGCATTCCTGGTCCAGGGTGGAGGGGGCTGGGGCTGAGCACAGGGGTTAGCCAACTACGGTAGCCGCACAGAGTAACACCTGTTGTAATGGCAGATATTGATTGAAGGCTTATTGGGTGCCAAGCTCCATGCTGTACTCAGCATATGGTGTTCCTGTGGGGTGAGCACTCCTATTTCTGGTGCTGGTGGTGATGTAAGGGGGAGACATGAGGGCAGGGGAAGGGCCTAGGTTCCAGCTGATGAACGTCGCCACTGCAAGCCTCTGACAGGAGCCCTGTGTTGGCCATGATCCCCATCCTCCAGGCAGTGGCGCAGAAGATAATAGTCCAGGTAAACAATGGGAATAGAGGCTGAACCACATGTCCCATGACAGCCTAGAGGAGAAATCCAAACTGCACATCAGTGAAGGCTTAACAGAAAAGGTGACCACATGTGTCTTGGAGGTTGGGGAAGATAGAGTAAGGTGTGGGGCTGTACCTACTAAACTCCGCTTCCTAAATATCTCTCAAAGTACCTTCAGGGTAAAGCCCAGATTCACTTCTAAGGGCTCCATCATCCGGAATTTCTTGGCTACAAGTGAAGAACCTATTTCAAATTTGCCTAAAGCAAAAGGAGATTTTACAGACTTGGGTAGTTAAGAAGCCCAGGATAGAATGGCTTCAGGCACAGCTGGATCCAGCTGCTCAGACAGTATTCTCAGAAATTTCTCCCTCTGTCTCTCTCTCTTTCTTTTCTTTTAATGTATCCTGATATTTCTGGTAGTGGGGATGGAATTTAGGTTTATTTGTTTATTTTTAGAGGAGGTACTGGGGATTGAACCTAGGATCTCATGCATGCTAAGCATTCGCTCTACCATTTGAGCTGTATCCTCCCCCTCTCCCTCCGTCTCTTGACTCAGCTTTCTTTGACTTCATTCCACAGCAGACTGCTCCTACACAGGGACTGATAGCCACCAGCTTGGCCATTCCAGCAAAAAGAGGGCCCTTTTCTCTCAGAAGTGTTTTCATAAGGTCTTGGGAGTAGCTCAGGTTTCTCTATTTTGGTCCTATATTTGTCTGTGAACCAATCCCTGTGGTTAAGAGCCAGATCTCTGATTGTCTAGACCTGGTCCCAAGCCTACTTCAGAGCTAGGGCAGCCCCTCCCACCACCTGGACTCGGGGTGGTTGTTAGGAGTGGTTCTCAAAGGAAAATTGGCGACTGTTACCAGGTGATGGGGACATGGATACAGCAGTAATAGAAGCATCCTGGCCATGAGGACCTTTGCAACCTGGCACTCCCTTCCCCACCCACATCCCACATCCCACCTCCCAGCCCCCAGCCTCCCAGTTAGACCTGCAACTTCCAATTCCTTGAACACCTCACGTTCTCACATACACCTTCCTGGCCTTTGCACAGTCTGTTCCCCATTCCTGCCTGGAATGTCTTCCCTCACCTCTAGGTGTTCACTAGTTGAACACCTACTCATCCTGGACCCCATGCTTGGACATCACCTTCCCCAGGGCCTTTCCTTGTCTTCCCATCAGCACACCTAGTAATTTCCCAGTTATACCTCTGTTGACTACAAGCTCCTTGAGAGGAGGAACTATGTATTTCGTTTACCCGTGTCTCCCCAGGGAAGGCCTTGATGGCTAATATGTGAATAAATGAGGACAGGTGGGGAACTGATTTCCTGGTAGATGGAACAGCATGGGCCAAAGCAGGGTGGTGGAAAGTTTAGGGATCAGCTAGTATGTAGTTTGATTTGACTAGGGAAAAAGATACTGAATTCAAGGGAATAGGAGTAGATCATACTGGAACATAAGTTGGGCCTATGCTTAGCAGCACAGGGCACAGTATAGGATGTGGTTAAGAATGTGGCTCTGGAGCCCAGCTGCCTGAGTACATCAGTTATCTATTGCTGTGTAACAAACGCCCCCATTTATTTAGTGATATAAAGCTGCCTTTTCATGCTCACAGTCTCTGTGGGTCAGGAATTGGGATGGAATACACCAGGAACAGCTTATCTCTGGTTGGCCATGTCTACAGCCTCACCTGGGAAGACTTAGAGGCTAGAGTGACTCGACAGCTTGGGGCTGGAATCATATGCAGTCTCACTTACTCACATGTGCAGTGGTAGATGCTAGTGATCAGCTGGGGCCTCATGCAGCATCTTCATACTGCTCATGGTGGGTGAGCTCTAAGAGAGCCTCAAGAGACATCTCAAGAGAGCCAAGCAGAAGCTGTGTCGCTTTTTATGACCTAGTCTCAGCAGTCACTTGGCATCACTTCTGCTGAAGTCACAAGCCTGCCCCTGTTCGAGAGGAGGGAATAGAGACCCCACTTCCTGATGGGAGAACTCACATTTGAGATGGGAGATAACTGAGTCTATCTTTTGTTTTTTTTTTCAGCATAACCTAGAAGTGTATTATAGAGATCAGAGACAACAGGCAAAATACAACAGTGTATTAATATCCCATTGCTTCCGTAAAAAATCACTACAAATTTAGTGGCATAAAACCACATAAATTTAGTCAGTTACAGTTCTGGAGGTCCAAAGTCTAAAACAAAACTCCAGTCCCTTCTGGAGGCTTCAGGGGGAAATCTGTTTCCTTGTTCCTTTCAGCCTCTAGAAGCCGCCTGCATTCCCCGGCTTATGGCCCCTTCCTTATAGCTCTCACACTTCTTTCTTCTCTCATCACATCTCCTACCTCCCTTCACCCTCTTTTCTCCTTCTTATAAGGACGATATGATTACATCTAGTCTATGGCTAGCTTTTTAAATACAGTCTTCCACACTGGGTTTGAATCCTGCCCTGCTCTTGCTGCTGTGTGACCTTGGAAAACTGGCTTAACCTCTCAGTGCCTTAGTTTCCCCATCTGTAGAATGTAGATAATAATGTCCCACTCCCCAAAGAGTTGATGTGAGGCTTAAATGAGTTAACACATATAAATAACTTAGGACATTTTGTGTTCTATAATAAATACTTTTTTGAAGATGAAAGTTTATACTAATTTCTGTAGGCAATAGGGAGCCATTGAAATCTTAGAGTAAAAGAATGTCACAGTGAGAAGTCTGCTGGTGTGTCTTACACTAGCCTTTTCCCTGAGCATCCTTCTTCCCTCAGAGCCGACTTTGGACTCCGAAATGGCTTCCAAGCTGAAGAGCTATGAATACCAGGGGAGCCATTTCCGGGTGACAAGGGGGGACTATGCTCCCATCCTCCAGAAGGTGGTGGAGCACCTGGAGAAAGCCAAGGTAGGGCTGACTGGAAGCTGAGGTATGCAGCTCCGGACCCCTCTGGGCAGCAAAGCCGGGTATGGGGATGGGTGGCTGGCCTGAGGCTGACCAAACCCTGCTCACCCCCAGACGTATGCAGCCAACAGCCACCAGGAGCAGATGCTGGCCCAGTACATAGAAAGCTTCACTCAGGGCTCCATCGAGGCCCACAAGAGGGGCTCTCGCTTCTGGATCCAAGATAAAGGCCCCATTGTGGAGAGGTGAGGCGCCAGCCTTCACCCCAACCCACCCCCTCCTGCCCGCCCCTCCTCCATCTCAGCCCTTCTCTCCCCCAGTTACATCGGGTTCATCGAGAGCTACCGAGACCCCTTTGGTTCCCGTGGAGAGTTTGAAGGTAACTTCTGGGAGGTGGGAGGTCAGATTGGAAACCCTTACCCTGCGTCCCCTGAGGGCCCTTCCCTCCCTGCGCCTCCCTCAGCAGTAATAACAACAGTCTCTGATGATTTACCATGGACTGGCCACCTGCCTATGTTAGCTCATTTTGACACCATTGTCCTATGAGAATTTCTAGCCTCACTTCACAGATGTGGGAACTGAGGCACAGTTGGTGGATGGCGGAGCCCAGGCGCCTTGGCTGTGAGCCACTTTGCTGTGCTGCCTCTGGTATCTGATCTGAGCACAGGCTCTGGCTTTGTCACTTAATGACTGTGTAACCTTGAGCCAATTAACCCCACCTCTGAGCATCAGTCATTTCTTTTCGGGTGTCGTGAGAAGTGAGGTATCATATGCAGACTGCTTTGCATAGTGCCAGGCACGTAAATGGTTCTTGGTTGATGGGAGCAGAATTAACATTGTGACTGTGAACTTGACTCACCTGCTGTCATCCCAGGGCAGGTGGCAGGCTGCCTTGGCCCTTGTGCCCAAGGCCGCATGGGATCCAGTGGTGCAGGGCAGAGCATCCAGCCTGGGGATTCAGACTTGTCTCTGCCAAGCCTTATCCTCCCCAGCCCCTGGACGTAGATTCTGGAGCAGCCAGCTGCCAGAAGCCAGAGAGATTAGCTTGGGGGGATAGAAGAAAGCCCCAACCTCCCAAAGGGTCTTGGATCTGAGCTGATAGTTTCAGGCCCAGGGATGAGGCATGAGGGGCAGGCCATCCAGGGGCCTGAGGGTGTGACAGGTATGCATACCCGCAGCTTTCCTGCCCGGGTCCTGATTTGCCAGGCCAGCTCTGAGGGCCGAGACCCAGAGCCTCCTCAGCAGCCTCAATCTCAGAGGTCCTCCCTTTTACATAACTCACAGTGATTATTAGAAAAGTAGTCCACATTCATGGGCAAAAGTTATGAAAATACAGGCTAAAAAAACCAACTGTGATTGCACCCACCCCAAGGTTAAAATCTGGAATGGAATTTTTAGCTTTCGTTTTTATATAAAGGTGTAAGTGTTTAAAAACCTGTGTGTGTAATTTAAAAATCCATGTTGTAAGTCATTGGAGCAAGACAGAAATACGTAGGCTAAGATGTGAAATCCCTCCTTTACCACCTTCTCCTATGTCACTCCCCTCCAAAGTTCACCACAGTTCACAGTGGAGTACAGGTCCTTCCAGACTTTCGTCTAAGCATTCACACACACACACACACACACACACACACACACACACACTACTTTTAATTCATCCAGGCAAAAGAGGTTATATTCTCTGTAGTGTTCTGTTACTTGCTTTTTTCACTTAATGATGTATCTTGGATATCTTATTTCATATCAGTACATATAGACCTACCACATTCTTTTTAATAGGTGTATAGTATTCACAATCTATTATAAATAATTTCCCACAACATTTGATATTGTACTGCATGTCTAACAGCTCCATGGTGTGCCGTCATCTAACTGTCCCCTAATTTATTTAATAATCCCTAATTGTTGGACATTAGGTTGCTTTTCCTTCTTGGCTATTTTTAAAAATTTTTATTCAAGTACAGTCAGTTACAATGTGTCGATTTCTGGTGTACAGCACAATGTCCCAGTCATGCATATATATACATATATTCATTTTCATATTCTTTTTCATTAAAGGTTATTACAAGATGTTGAGTATAGTTCCCTGTGCTCTACAGAAGAAATTTGTTTTTCATCCTCTCTTCCTGTCCTGGTGTGATGATCTCACCAGACAAAGTGGATCTGGATAGGGAGGTTTTGCCAAACCCATCCCTTGGCTAGGTTAAGGTTAACTCCTTTATCAGTCTAGGCCAGGCCTTTCCAAGGCCTAGTCCATGCAGGGTTAACTGGAATTACATCAAGAAGGGTTCGGTGCTAAGAGCAAGGAGTCTCTGCTTGCAGGACTCTTCAGTACCTTTAGTACACACATGTGCATTAGGAACATTTAAAAAGTTAGAGATAGAGTATGTAGTGCTGCCCAAACTTTTTTGACCCGGGAGCTCTTTCTTTATGGAGGCGCTTGTAGAAAATGTGTTCTCTGGAGTGCAGTTTTGGAAACATTGCTTTGAGCCAGGAGCTCTAACTGCGTTAAATCTAAAAAGATCAGTCCCTGCCCTCCTGTGCAATGGCCTCACCACCACATAAGCCAGCTATGGCTCACTGTTCCCCCCAAAAGAAGAGCATCTTCTTGTGTGTGTGTGGTCCCATCCACTAGGCATCTGATCCTTTTCCTATCACCCACTATGTGCCGCCAACAAACTCCTTTAAGAGCCATCTCAGGTGTTTCTCAGCGAAGCCTTCTCTCTACACCCCACCCACCCTAAACAGTGACCTCCACGAAGGCAGGGCCCAGGCCTGGGTCACTGCTCTCCCTGGTGGCCAGCACAGGGTCGCGGCAGACAGCAGGCATTCATACACGCATGTTGGCTGGAGGATTAGAGCGGTTGAGTAAGGTGTGTAATCCCTCCCAAAGCCCGCCATCCCACAGCCTGCTCTCTCCCCTGCAGGCTTCGTGGCCATGGTGAACAAGGCCATGAGCGCCAAGTTTGAGTGGCTGGTGGCAAGTGCGGAACAGCTGCTGAAGGAGCTGCCCTGGCCCCCAGCCTTCGAGAAGGACAAGTTCCTCACCCCTGACTTCACCTCCCTGGATGTTCTCACCTTCGCTGGCTCCGGCATCCCTGCTGGCATCAACATCCCCAACTGTGAGCTTCCTCAGGCCCTGCCCTCCAGCCCTGACAGATTCCCCCAGTTCCCCAGGAGACTCCAGTTTAGAGTCGCCCTCTCCCCCTCCACACACTTATCCTGGCCGCAAATCACCCTACTCCACTCACCATCCCTGCCTGTCCCTCTTGTCCAGACAACTGGTCTGTGGCACTTGAACTTTGCCCCTTCTCCCTGGTCCCCTCCTCACCTTCTCCAGATGACGACCTGAGGCAGACAGAAGGCTTCAAGAACGTGTCGCTGGGGAACGTGCTGGCAGTGGCCTATGCCACGCAGCGGGAGAAGCTCACCTTCCTGGAGGAGGATGACAAGGTGGGCACCGGCAGCCTGAGGGCCAGTGCTGGGCTTGGCCTGACCTCGGCTGACACGGGAAGGCAGACAAGCCAGTGCAGAGAAGAGGAAGGAACAGGGTTTCAGGCCTGGATTGGCTGCTCTCCAGCCATGTGACCTTGTGTCTTCAGAGTCTGTGACCCCAGCTGTCAAACAGAGGCAGTGCCTTCCTCTCAGAGGGTGGCAAGGATGAGCGGGGCCATGCGGTTCCCAGTGTGGAGCTGGTGTGCAGTGGGCCTTTAGCAAATGCACACATCATGACTAGCCCTCGGCCTAGCACGGGGAGTGGTGGCAGGCTATGTGGCCACGATGGGACTGTGGACAGCATGGGTCTCTGCTTGTCTTGGCAGGACCTGTACATCCGCTGGAAGGGGCCCTCCTTTGATGTGCAGGTGGGGCTGCACGAACTGCTGGGCCACGGCAGCGGCAAGCTTTTTGTGCAGGTGAGAACACAGCAGTCACCCCGGCTGCCAACAGAAGCCTCCCCAGTGCCCAGGCCTACAGCTCCCCTCCTCCGTAATCAGCCCTCCAGGGGTGCAGCTGCTCCATTCTTTGCCCTCAGTGTCTCACCCTCCCTCAAGACATCCCAGGAACTCTAAGGACTGAGTGGGACCTGTAGGACAGTCCTGCTGAGGTTCCCCTGTCACAGTCTCCCACAAAGGAGGAATTGCTTGGCTCATGCCAGGGAAGCCTGCCCTGAGGGTGTGGCCTTGGCAGCCCCAGGGGTAGAGAGGCTGGAAGGGGGCTGTCTCTGGGCACTCCTAGCCCTGAGGCTGCAGCACTGTGTCTTTGAACTGCTGTTCCTTGGAGCTTGTACCTTTCCAGGTATTGTAGGGAGCCCCTTCTCCCCCGAGTAGCCCCTTCGTACTGGCCAGCCAGAGTGGCTGGCGCCCCCTTGGCACCCATTCAGGGAATATGAGAAGACAGCTTTTCTGGCTGGCTGGGAAGAGCCCAAGGGCCCATTGTGGACCCTGGGGCTGGAACTGCACAGATGAGAAGACTGGAGACGGGTGGGGTAATGCGGTCAGACAGTGTGGGGTTCTGGGTTGGGCCTGCTCCTTGTAGGGTGGGGCTGCCTCCCCGAATAGGGAAGGGCTGGGCTTGGAAGTCAGGAGGATCCAGAGAGCAGCTGTGGGGAAGCAGCTTGGCTTTGCCTAGGCTCTGAAGTCCCAGGGAAGCAGGGACAAATGTGGCCCCTTGCAGGGTTCAGTTCCCCTCCTTGAGCCTCAGTTGGCCCATCTGTAAAATGGGGCTCCTGATTCCTCCTGTATGGCTCTTGTGAGTAATAAAAGCAAAGCCCTGGGATTTGCCTGGCACCCAATAGGCCCTCTGGAAATGGGTATTATTGTTAAGAGACTGTGCACAGAGTTTATATGCTCTGATTCCACTCTGGGGTTCTTAATCTCTGAGCCTTAGTTTCCTCTGTGAAGTGGGATAATAATGGAAACTTCCTTGGACGGTGGCTGCCAGAATTAATGGATAATGCACGAAGATACTTAGCCCATGGAGAGAACAGTGTGAGTGATGCTTGTTTGGGGCAGAGAATCGCATGCTGTGGCCTCCTCTGGCAGGAGAGGGGCCAGGAAGCATGGACCCAGCTGGGGTCTAGGGATACTGGGTCCGGGTCTTCATGTGACTTTGGGCACATCCCTCCCCACGGTGGCCCGCAGTGTCGACTCTCTCTGCAGTGGGGTAGGTACCTCTGGGGGCTCTGAGAGGTGTCACAGGACTCAGGTTTGGAGGCAGCAGTGTGTTGTCAGACCTCCTGCTCCTGCCATCACTCACTGCTCCCTGGTCACCTTTCTGAGCCACTCATCAGGCCCTTGGATCTGGGGCTGAAAGCCTGGCTCCGGATCAGGGCCCTTTGCCCTCACCCACCCCATGTCCGTGACCCTCCTGCAGGATGAGAAAGGAGCATTCAACTTTGACCCAGAGACGGTGATCAACCCAGAGACGGGGGAGCAGGTGAGGGCAGCTTCAGTGGAGCCCCAGGGTGCTGGGAGGTGGGGCCCAGGTTGGGTGGCAGCTACCCCTAAGTCTGCTTCCTGGGCCTCCCCTCCCAGATTCAGAGCTGGTACCGGAGTGGGGAGACCTGGGACAGCAAGTTCAGCACCATCGCCTCCAGCTATGAAGAGTGCCGGGCCGAGAGCGTGGGCCTCTACCTCTGCCTCAACCCCCAAGTGCTAGAGTACGAGCAGCAGGCCTAGGGGGTGGGCCTCCTCTGTGGATGGAGTGGGTGCTGGCAGGGAGGGCAGGGCCCCAGCAGCCTCTGACCCCCTTCCCCACCACGTCCCCTCCCTTCCCCAGGATCTTTGGCTTTGAGGGGGCTGATGCAGAGGATGTGGTCTACGTGAACTGGCTCAACATGGTTCGAGCCGGACTGCTTGCTCTGGAGTTCTACACCCCTGAGGCCTCCAGCTGGAGACAGGTGGGGGCCAGGGGACCCCTTAGGAGGGGAGAGCCTATGGTGGGGACCAAGACCAGGATTCTGGGTGTAGGGATGGGATAACTGTACCTATGAGGCACATGAACTGGGTTTCATCCCAGACTCCACTGTGTATAAGGGCAAGTCACATCACTGCTGTGAGTCTCAGCATCCCTGTCTGTGAAATGGGAATAATAATCTCCTTGCTCACCTTTGAGGGTGAACCAGATGAGATGATTTTACTCTGACTACTAACAGATGACTTGCATAGGACCTAGTCTGTGCCACTGAGTTCTAAGCACTTTACTTAAGTTGACCCACTGGTTCCCAGTATCAACCCAGAACGTAGGGACTATTATTACTCTCATTTTAGAGATGAGAAAACTGAGGCACAAAGAGGCTAAGTAACTTGCTGGTAAGTAACAGAGTCAGAATTCAAACTCCAGCAGCCTTCCTCCACAGCCATCAGGCTACACTGCTCGGTTATGAGATGTACTTTGGAAACAGAGGAAGCAGCAGCAATGTTTTTAAAAGTCAATTAAGTCTGTTTTGAGGGGGCAATGTTGAGTCATTAAAAGCACACATTTTAGGATGAGGAAACTTGGGTCTGAATGCTTGCTCTCTCTTACCAGCTCTGTGACTCTGAGCAAGTCACTTCAGCTCTCTGGGCCTCTGTTTTGTCATATGTAAACTGGGGATAACCACCCCCTCTTGGTCCCACTGTTTTATGCAAACAAGATTATGGAGGAGAAAGTGCTCAGGGTCCTAGTGGTGAGGGACCCTCTGGGGTAACTGCTGGCATCCTGGCAGTGTGGAGCAACAGAGGGCATGTGGGTGACGGGGGAGAGCATGGGGCTCGGGCTCCTGCCTGGAAGCGGCCTCTGTGTTCCCCAGGGCAGCTTGCCCTCCCTTATGAGCAGAGGCACAAAAGGACCTACAGGGTGGGGGAGAATAAAACGATAATAATAGTTGACAGTTAATGAGCACATATGGTGTTTTAGGCCTTGGAATGAACTCTTGATACTTCTTATGGCTGCAAAGGATTCCCTTCTCTTTGGTCCCTGGCAGGCCCACATGCAGGCCCGGTTTGTGATCCTGAGGGTCTTGCTGGAGGCTGGCGAGGGGCTTGTCACCGTCACTCCCACCACAGGCTCCGATGGGCGCCCAGATGCCCGGGTCCGCCTTGACCGCAACAAGATCCGGTCTGTGGGCAAGCCCGCCCTGGAGAGGTTCCTGCGGAGACTCCAGGTAAGCAGAGGCTTCTCATCTTGGAGGCCCCTTCCCACTTGACCCTATCTCCCCACCCTGTTAACAGGGAAGGCTTTTTGGAGGAGGTGGTTTAAATGAATTTGAGTGCCAAGGAGGAACCAGCTATGAGAAGATCTGAGAGCAGAAAGAACAGAAAGTAGAAAGGCTGGTCTTAGGACTGGAATGGGCTTGGTGGGTTGAGGGACAGAAAGAAGCCTGAAGTTTGGTGAGTGAAGGAGGGAAGGACAGTGGTCAGTGCAGACTTGGCTTCCCTCCTGTGGAGGGATGTTTAGAGTCGGGAGACCTTTGGGATTCTGGTGCCAGTACTGACTGGCTGTGTCATTGGGGTAGCATACTTTGCCTCCCTGGGCTCTATTTGCTCATCTGTTAAACAGCATACATCACCTGCCTCACCAGGAGGGAGTTAAATGAAACAACATGTATGTGGAACTGAGCAAACAGAATGTCATGTGACACATAGTGTGGTCCAGGGACCAGCAGCCGCAGCATCACCCAGCAGCAGGTTAGAACTACAGATTCTCGGGCCTCACCCTAGACCTCCTGGTTTGGAAATTCTGAGTGCAGGTCCCAGGAATCTGCATGTTTACTAGCCTGCCAGGAGATGCTGACACTCAGCAAAGTTTGAGAACCACTGGTGATGCCCCACTATTTACTGGGCAGTGCCTTCCATCAGAACAGGGTCCTGTCGCCTTTTTCAACCTGAAGAAGGCCCAGCCTTCAATTCAGCAAATATCTTTTTATGATTATACTCCCACCTATTTCCAGAAAGTATTTAAGGCATTTTTCCATAAAAGATATGTGTTTGGCCACTAAAGTAAAGCAAAATTAGAAATTAAAAACCATTAGACACAAAGCACAGTGTGGTGTCTTGGATTAGATTATGGAATAGAAAAAGGACATTAATGAGAAAACTAGTGAAATCTAAATAAAGCCTAGAGTTCAGTTAATAGCAATGGACCAATTTTGTCAAGATGTTGACAACAGGTGAAACTGAGCCAGGGGCATGCGGGAACTCCATGCTATTGTAACTTTTCTATGAATCCAAAATTATTCCAAAACAGTTAGTTAATAGTAATAAGTCACTAGATAAAGGAATCAAATCTGCCAAATCTTAGGTCAGTATTGAACTGTGCCTGAGTATTGAACAGAGCATTCTTTTTTTTTTTTTTAACTTTTTTTTCTTTTTTTTGAGTATAGTCAGTTTACAATGTTGTGTCAATTTCTGGTGCACAGTGTTTCAGTCATATGTATACATACATATATTCCTTTTCATATTTTTCATTATCAGTTACTACAAGATATTGAATATAGTTCCCTGTGCTCTACAGTAGAAACCTGTTGTTTATCTATTTTATATATAATAGTTAGTATCTTGAACAGAGCATTCTTAACCAGGTAGGTCTCTGTACAAGGGGAATCATACAACAGAATGGATAGTGTCCATAGCAGTAGTTTTCCAGAAGATATGGAATGTGGAAGCATTTTTGGTGTGGCTGTTTCTTTTACTAGCCTCCTAGGAAAAGCCAAGAGTACAGCGAGGAGCCAGCAAGCAGGGAAGATGAAGGCATTTCCACAGGGAAAGGCTTCAGCCACGGGTCACAAGCAAAGGCATAGTTTTGGGCCACCCTTATTGTAAAAATTGGCGAGGTGAGATATTAAATCTGTATCTCTGGCTTCTTGGAAGGTCTGGCATTAATAGGCTTAATTCACATGTGAACCGCTGGCTGGAACTGAGCAGCAGGCAAGACATTTGGACATTTGGACGTGGCACCACTCTCCAGTTTGCTGGGTCCACTTCCTATTTCCCGTGCCTGCCTTAGTCGCTGGTTTAGGATACCACCTGGCTCCTGTTGGCACCCATGGTCCCAGCTCTCTGGTTTAAGCTCCTGGGGTCTAATAGGTTGACTTAACAAATATGTGTTCACATTCTAGGTGTTAAATATTATGTGGAAGAGAGAAAGGTGAGACATTCTCTCTAACCTTCCCCCAAGGAGTTCCCAGCTGGTTTTAATTACTCCAAAGCTAAAGAAAATCACTCTAACCCTGGGTCTAAGAGGAGAAGGCTTACCCAGAGGGAGCCCTAGTAGGAGTCCTACTTTGTCACTTGCAAATTGGCAGAATGAGTAAGGATCAGGCTCACAAAATGTGGTATTTGGAAGAGAACCAAATAGATCTCCTAGTAATAAATTTTATAATCACTGAAACTAAAAATAGGCAGGTTAAACAGGTTTTAGATGGAGCTGAAGGTAAGAGAAATTATACAGCATGTAGCACAGAGAGACAAAGATAGAAAATTTAAAAGAGAGGTTAAGAGACACACAGGCTGGCATTGTTGCAGAAAAACGTGTTACAGCTCGGTTGTGACAGCAACCTGGATCCAGGTGAGAGACCAAGCAGCACTGGGAGAGTTGGAGAACTCAGGTTTATTTTGCCAGCAGGCCCACAAGAGTTAACACTCCAAACTCTGGACCCGGTCTGTAGGTTTACACTGGCTTTTATAGGCTGCCAGCTTAAACTTTGCCACATCATATGCAAATAAGGTATAACAAAAATTGACTGACTAGGAACAAGCTTTGTAGAAATGGACCAATCAGGAGGGAGAGAAATAACAAATCAGGAGTGAGCTTCATGCAAATGAAGTACTACAAATGGACCAATAAGAAGTTAGGGAAATGGACCAATCAGGAGTGAAGGAAATAACCAGTCAGGAGTAAGCTCAGGGAACCAATAGAATTGTAGGGGTAAGTTCCACTTTCCTAGAAGTAAGCGGTTTCAGAGGCAAAAAGCCTCTGGGCCAAGGAACCAGATGGTGCTGGCAGAAGAGTAGTGGCCCTGCCTGGGGGTCCTGCCGGTCTTTTTTATGGGGCTTCCCACCTCAGTGTGAGAGGGTCTAACATAAATAAACTGAAGTTGCAAGAGGAAAAGAGAGAGAAAAGGTAAGAGAGGGAATATTGGAAGAGATAGTGGCTGAGAACTTTATAGAACTGATTAAAGACCCAATTCATAAATCCAGGAAGCTCAAGAAATCCCAAGAATGACAGCGAATCCTCTGTCTAGAAACATCGTAGAATAATGCAACACATCAAAGATGTAGAGACAGTCTGTAAAGCAGCCAAAGAATAAAGACAGATCACCTAAAAAAGAATGATAATTAGACTATGAGCTGACTTAGCTACAGTGGAGGCCAGAAAGCAATGGAATGATATCTTCAAAGGGCTGAGAGTAAGTAACCATCAACACCCAGTAAAATCATCTTTCAAGAATTCCAGGGAATTGAAGACATTTTTAGACAAACAAAAATGGAGTTTACCATCAACAAATCCTCTTTAGAAGTTAAAGAAGCTTCTATAGGAGGTAATTTAGAAAAGAAACATGGACCCAGAGGGAAGGTTTGATAAGCCAAAAAGGGTAGTGAGTAATGTAAATAGTAAACATAAAGGTAAATCTAGATATCATGAACTCTGTACAATAATTGAGATGTTCAATTTGTGGGGTTAAAAAAAGATAATTAAATACTGGACCATAGCAGCATACAGGTCTCAGAACTGGGGTAGGCACTCAGAGATCCTTTTATAATTTGAGGGGATAAATACATTAAATATCTTCAGACTTTATTAAGTATGCATGCTGTAATGCCTAGGGTAAACTCTAAAAGAATAGAAAGAGAGAGTATAACTCTAAAACTCAATCCAAAAGAAGACAAGAAAGGAGGGAAAAGAATCAGAAAAGCAGGGAAACAGAAAGCCCCAAATAAGAAGGTGGAGTGCTTGCTTTGGCAGCAAATTGGAACAATACAGAGAAGATTAGCATGGTGCCTGTGCAAGGGTGACATGCAAATTCATGAAGCATTCCACATTTTTAATGATAAAAAATATGGAAAAGAATATATATGTATAACTGAATCAATATGGTGTATTCCAGAAATTAACTATACTGTAAATCAATTATACTTCAACTTTGTTTAAAAAGCAAAAAAATAAGATGGAAATAACTCCAAATATGTCAGTAGTAAAAGTGAGACCAAGCTCTTTAGTTAAAAGACTGTTAGACTCAATTAAAAAACAAGACCTTTCTCTATGCTGTTTGCAAGAGATACCCTTAAAAACATAAGGACAGGACAAAACTATACTAAGTGAAAGAAAACTGTTCCAGCTGTATTAAAATCACACAAAATAGACTTACAGAAGCATTGCTAGGAAAAAAAAAAACCCCAAGAAAATAAAAATCATTGCTAGAGATAGAAAGGGTTTAATAAATAATAATTATAAGTCCAATTCATCAAGAAGATATAATAATTCTAAACGTGTATGTATCAAATAACATGGCATCAAAATATACAAAATAAAATTCTGTACATTTACAAGGAGAAATTGGCAAATCCATCACAAGGGAAGATTTTCATACTTATTTAAGGAATTGATAGATTAAGAAGAAGAGGAATAATAAAACGTAGGAGATTTGATACAACACAAATAACGATCTTGATCTAGTAGACTTGTATAAAAATCTGCACCAACAAAGAGAGCACATACGTTCTTTTCAAACTAATACAAACAGACCAGTATAGGCCACAGCTCCTAACTAACTCTTTTTTGGGGGTGGGGGGGTGGGCAGGCAATTAGGTTTATTTATTTATTTATTCTTAGAGGAAGTACTGGGGATTGAACCCAGGACCTCATGCATGCTAAGCATGCATTCTACTACTTGAGCTATACCCTCCCCCCTTAACTAACTCTTAAGCTGGGAAGTGGTTGTATGGGGGTCTTGTTATTCTTTATAAAACATATACTATATATTTTGGGTGTGTGAAACTGAAAAAAAAAGAGGGTGACGGTAATGCCTTCCTGTCTACAGTTCAAATGAGCTTTCTTTAATGCGGGCACTTACCATGTGCTAACACTTGATTCGCATTCCTCACATACTCAGCACAGTAAAGCTGGGAGAGAGTGGATACAGTCCAGGGCTGGGCACAGCCGTGGCCCCTGGCAAAGCCCTGTGGATGCGGGGAGGCAGCCATCAGAGGCACTCACTCCTTCTGCCTTCCCACAGGTGCTGAAGTCCACGGGGGACGTGGCCGGAGGCCGGGCCCTATACGAGGGGTATGCGGCCGTCACCGATGCACCCCCTGAGTGCTTCCTCTCCCTCAGGGACACTGTGCTGCTCCGCAAGGAGGCTCGAAAACTCATTGTTCAGCCCAACACTCGCCTCGAAGGTAATGGACTCCTGAGCTGCCTCTGATGCAGGGCCATGCAAGGCCTCGTGGGAGCACAGAGGAGGCCTGGAACTGACTTCGGGGCTCAGAGAAGACTACGTGGGGTGGCTCCTACTTCCCTCCCTCCCTGCCACAGTCCTCCCCATGCCAAACCTCGGGCCCAAACCTTGGCATCTTCCTCCACCACCACCCTGCACACACAGGGTCATGCTGCTTGTAAGATGGCTGGCAGAGCAAGGGCTAGTGGAACAGACAGACCGCAGGCCTGTTGGGAGGCCAGGCCTTACACTGGGGAGTCAGGCCTGTCAGGTACCCACCCTGCTACATTCATTTTCCTCTCATCCCTTGATTCATCTTTCTTGACACCTGTCATGTGAGGCACCGAAGAAGAGGTGGTGCCATGCTGTGGTTAGAGCATGAGCTTCAGAACTGCTCTGCAACCTTGGCCTAGTCACTTAACCTTTCTGGGCCTGGGAGTCTTCATTCACAAAGCCAGTGTTGATTGTGTGCTGACACTATAGTGAAACTGAATTAAGTACTCCCTTCAAGTTCCAGGTGCTTTCCAGAGATTAACCCTTTAAGTCCTCACAATAACCCAATGAGGTAGGTATTTTTATTATCCTCATTCTACAGATAAGGAAACTGAGGCACAGAGAGTTAATTACTTAAGGCTTACAGCTTTTTTACTGGAGAAGCTAAGAGTCAAATGAAGAACATTTGTTCCTCACTGCCGTAGTCACAGACAGTTGTGAGGGTTAAATGAAATAATTACCTCTTAAGGTGAGGAGAGTATTTAAGAGGTTTATTCCAAACTCTTTCTAACTCCAGAGGCATCATGGGATTTGGCATCGACCCCTTGCCGGCCCTCTTCCCTGGCTTATCACCCCCCAGCACACGGACCTTTTGTTTCTCCAGCCCCCTGAGCTCACTCCATTCCTGTAGCCTCTGCACTCGCTGTCCCCTCTGCTTGGCACAGTCGTCCCCCACATCTTTGTCTGATCTTCTTGTCACTCAGGTCTCTGTTAAATGGCATCTCCTGGGAGAGGCTGTCCCTGACCCCTCAACCTAGAGTAATCCCTTCAGTCCCACTAGCCCGTCACCCAGCTTCCGTTCCTTCATGCACTCATCACTCTGCCATCTTCCTTTCTGCCTTGTCTCCATGACAGCAGGAGCAGCACATCCCTTGTGCCAAGCACAGGACCTGGCACACAGGAGCCGCTCAATGCCTGTCAATGCCTCTGAATGAATGAAGCATGCTGGGCACATAGTAGGTGCTCATTATGTGGACCGTATCCTCATTGCTTTGATTGTGCAGCCTTGGGTAGGCATGGAGGATGGACTACTCATCTCAAGTAGTTCACAAGCCACAGGAATGTAAGACAAAGAGAAATGATCTTACAGGGGAAGTGTTTTGGGGTGCCCAACAGACACAGACAGTGGTCTGAACACTTAGAGAAGGGAAGATCACATCTATCTCTGAGGGAATCAGGGAAGGGTTTGGGGAGGAAGTGGTGATTAAACTAGACCTGAAAAACAGATTGAATTTTCAAAGGTAGCAGTGATGATGATCTTTGCTAACTTTTGAGGACTTCCATGTGCCTGTCTCTGGGTAAAAACTTTCTATGGATTAACTCCCAACAACTAAGCGAGAAAGTTATTGTCCTCATTTTTCCAGCTGGAGACTGAGACATAGAGGGGCTGTGTATTTGCTTGAGGTCAGATAGTTAATGAGTGGCAGGACTAGGATTTCAACTTGGGCCACCTGAACCCAGAGCCTGGGCTCTTAGCTGCATACACCCCATAATGCCACAGAGCACAACAATGCACTGTGAGCAGTATAGCAGTGGAAGTATGTCAGAGGGAAATGCTTCCCATGACTATTCAAGAACACCTCATAAGTTACATGGGTGCCCTTGGAATGGCTCCATTTAACAGATGAGTAAATAGTCTCAGAGATCATGATGCTCATGGTAGCTCACACTTGAGTATTTACTTGATGCATTATTGTATTTTTCTTTTAAATTTTAGGATTTTTTGGGGGGGGTAATTAGGTTTACTTCTTTCTTTATTAAAAAAAAAATTTTTTTTAATGGAGGTACTGGGGATTGAACCCAGGACCTTGTGCATGCTAAGCACACATTCTACCACTGAGCTATACCCTCCCCCTGCATTACTGTATTAAATTACCACAGCTTCTTGAGAAGTACTGTACTCACTCCCACTTTACAGATGAGGAAACTGAGGCTTAGAGAGTTTCAGGAACTTGCCAAGGCTTCCACAGTAGACAGAGATTAAGCAATTTCTGGACAGCAAGCTCCTGGAAGCCAAGGACTGGTTAAATCTTTATTAAGTGAATGAATGAATGAATAAATGAATGAATGAAGCAATTCATTGGCTACTCCCCCTTTAATATTTCCTTTATCATAGGGTTATTTTAAGGATTAAGTTAGATAATGAAACACTGAGCACAATTTTTAGCACATAAGAGCTCAGGAAAACTAGCTGCTCTTATGATTATGTTTCCTTATTAAGACCTTTTTCTGCTGCTGTTTTTTCTCCATCTCCTCCCCAGGCTCAGAAGTACAGCTTCTTGAGTACGAGGCCTCAGCTGCTGGCCTCATCAGATCCTTCTCTGAGCGCTTCCCAGAGGATGGGCCCAAGTTGGAGGAGATCCTCATCCAGCTGGCCACAGCCGATGCCCGATTCTGGAAGGGCCCCAGTGAGGCCCCATCTGGCCAGGCTTGAGGCAGATTTGTACAGCCACTCCCCCTGCCCCCTCCACTCCATCAAAACAAGGCTACAAGGGGCCCCCTTTGTATGTGTGTCTTAGGGGCCAGGGGAGGGGCAGGAGCTCGGAACTTGGTGCTACCTTAGTCGAAGGTGGTGACACTAAGCCCTTCCAGCACTTTCGTTTACCAAGTGCTTCCCCTGTGTTATCCCATTTGATCCGCGCTCCTCTCAGCAGACAGGGCAAGACAGGGCTCCTTATCCTGGTTCCCAGGTGAGGAAAGGCAAGTTCTGAGAAAGTGACCTCTCTAAATCCTGCAGGACTCAAAACCTCTCCCAATCCAGTGCTCTTCATGTATTACTTTTATAACCAGAAAAATAAATATTAAAAACCACTGCCATCAGTGTGTGATTCCTCCTTGCCTTTGACTCACTTCTCATTTGCTCCCTGCAGGGTGGTGGGATCAAGGGCTGGGGACTGGGAAGGAGGGTCAGTTTTAGGCTTCCATCTACTACATGATTTTGATGTCGCCTCTAAACGTGGATATACAGAGAGTCACAAAGATGAACGTAGCACAATTTTTGCAGTCCTCTGTGATATTTCTATTTTTAAGTATTCTAGGAACCTAAAAACTGGAAAACTTCAGTCAGAATCCTAGGATTTAATCTCTTAAGCTCTGTGTTTTGTATCTCTGAGCCTGGACCTCTAGAGGGAGGAGGGAAGAAAGGACATATCCCCTTTTCAACCGGCTTAACCGTGAGGATGAAGAGAGGAAGAGTTAGTTTTGCTGTTCATAGACGCTAGAAAGTCTCCTCTCCACGCATGGAAGCCAGAGGGCCTTGTCGCTGACCCAGAGATTGCAAGGCCCAGAAACTGCTGCTGGGAAGGATCAAAGATAAATGATATGAGCTGGAATGAGGGCTTGCATCTCAGCAAGTAGAAACCCAGCAGAGGCCAGCTCATTCCGCATGTAGGCCTCACCATTCCGGGCCGGAAAGCTGAGCTCCCGGAACCTTTACACGCGCGTTTCCCCAAACCCGGGCTCTATTGGGTGTTGCGCGGCGGTCGGCCAGAGCCGGTTGCCAGGGCGACGCCTGCGAAGATGGCTGCCGCGTCTTCGTCGGATTCCGACAGCGGCAGAGCTGAGAGGTGATGCCTGGGGTTCTTGAGGCTTCCTTTCCTATACATGTAAAGAGGGTGCCCTGGTCCCCGGGATGTTGGGCTCCTGCAGTTCTCAGCAACGCTAGAAATCCTTGAAGAGCTCTTAGAGCGCAAATAGGGAAACTGGGGCCCAAGGAGTGAATGGGTGGGTGTGTGAGTGACGCTAGGTCACCCAGTGTGCCAGTGGTGGGACCTGGACTTGGACCCAGACCTTCTATATCCCCAGTTCAGAGCTCCCTACACACCTCATTCTTAGAGACCAGCTCCCTCAGTTTTCTTCTCCTTTGGGATTCGTCTTCCGTCCCCCGCAACTCTTTCCCTCCTCTCCCAGCAATGAGGCCAGTTCGAAATGGCTGGATGCACACTACGACCCCATGGCCAACATCCACACCTTTTCCGCATGCCTGGGTGAGTTTCTGGGACCAGGAACCCCGGTTCTGGGGAGACGGAATCACGATGGTTCTGTAGTGAAGCCTCTAGGGTTCTGAGACCCTGGCTTACAGTCCTTTTGTGTTTTCCAGCGCTGGCAGATTTGCACGGGGATGGGGAGTACAAGGTAAGCATATCGCCCCAGTAGAAAGAGAATTGGGTGGCCAGGGAATACCAGAGGTGAGATTTCCTGATGGCTCCAAATAAGCTCAGCATAATCTGTAATTCATGTGTACTCTGAAAAAACACATTTAGTGTTAAACTTTATCTTTATGTGGAAGGTGAAGAGACCTATCGATATCATAATACAGACTGCAGAAAGTAAAGCAAAACAGAATGCTGCTGGGGACTCTACTACGACAAAGCCTCTTATTTTTGTTAACAACGTAATTCTTTGCTGGGAGGGCACATCCCTTGGTTGGGGGTTGGCCGTTAGACTCCAGAGGGAAAGTAGAAGGGAGGAAAGTGAGAGTTTTATGTTTATCAAAAGGGCATAGATTTTAAGATTCACCATGAGCTGATAATTGTTGAAGCTGGATGATGGCTATTTGGGGGTTCATTATCCGAGTCTCTCTACTTTTGTCTATGACTGAAAATTTTCCACAATAAAAAGGTTAAATTTAAATTTAATTAAAAATACAAATAACTAAAATGTAAATTAAAAAATTAAAATTTTAAAAGCACAGATTTTAAAAAGGTTGAGAATATATTGGGCTACAGAAAGGGAGTTAACATATATTGAGTATTCATTTCTGGACTAGATGTTCTTTGAGGCATTTTCATGTACGTAAGTATTATTATCTCTATTTTGTTAATGGGAAAATAGATTCTGAGAGGCTAAATTTACTAAGTTTGTAAAAAGTGGCAGACCTAGGTCTGTCAGCTTTCCTAGTCGTGTGTTTGTTCCATTAGAGATCAGCCCTCGCCAAGGGCAGTGAACCCACAATGGGTGTATTATGTTGCAGCTGGAAGGGAATCATACCCTATGTGGAGAGTGTAGTAGGGTTAGGTGGCTTTTGCCCCCAAATTCCTATCCGTAAAGCATTCAACAATCGGCAAGCATACAGAGAACCCCTACTGTGTGTCAGGCGTTGTGCAGACACTAAAATCTGAAATGAATCCATACATAGTCAGAAAGAGATATAGATACTGTCCTTAATTCATTTATAATATTGACTGAACACCTAGTGTATGCTTGGCACTGGACTGACAGCAGTGAAGAGTAGAGAAATCACAGACCCAATAACTAAAGTAAAATGTTAATGTTTTCATATAATAACGTTTTTAATGGTGAGTTTGCTTACTGTTGACTCCCAGCATCCACTCCAGAGCCTGGTACAATCTTAGGTACTTGATATAAATTTTGGGGGTAAATGAGTGGATCCTAACATAGAATATATAGAAAGTATTATGGGAGCACCAATGAGAGAATAGTGAATTCTATGTGGAGGCAGTAGGCGGCAGGGACATGTGAACTGGTGTTAAAGGATGAATGAAATGCACTAAAAAGGCATGGAAGAGAGGAAGGGGAAGGCTTTCCAGGCAGAGGGAACAGCACAAGTGGAGGTATAGAGGCTTGGAAGTTCACAGCACATTTGGAAAGAGGAAATTTGAAATTAGAAAGTTGTGGCCAATATAAAGTAGTAGTTAGGACCACTGGCTTTGGATTCATACATATCTAGGTTAAAGTCCCAGCTCTACCACCAACTAGCTGTGTGACTTTTACCTAACATCTCTGAGCCACAGCTTCCTCATTGGTGAAATGGGGCTAGTAATCGTACCCACCTCAGAGGTTGTCGCTAGGATTAAATGAAAGGATGCATAAAGTTCCTGGTGTGGCTTCTGGGACACTGTGCAAGCTCGGAATCCAGACATTCTGTGGCAGCTCCCATTCTGGCTGGAACATAGTGTGGATGGGAAGGTGACAGAAGACAAGTGGGGAACCAGATCAGAGGGGCCTTGAAGGCCTCACTCAGGAGCACAGGCTTGCATGGCAGCCGCAGCAGCTTGGAGGGTGAAAAATAGAGGCTGAGGGGCTTGGTTCTCCTCTCTGTGTGCTTGATTCTGCATCTTTAGCTCTGTTCCCATATGGAAGCCAGACCTCAGAAGCCCAGATAGGAGTTTCAGGCCCCTCACTGACCTCAGCCACCGCCACCCTGTCTAGGCAGTGCCTGGCATGGAGCAAGCCCGGAAGAAATCTTTACTGAATGAATAATGAAAACATCCGCTGCCACCTATTCCTGACTAGCACTCACCAGGTTCTGTAATTCATTATCTCATTTGATTTCCACTACAAGTGTCGTGTGGTAGATAGTCCCATTTTGCAGGTGGGAAAACTGTGGCTCAGGAAGTTGAATCAATTTTCCCAAAGTCACATAGCTTGCAAGCCTTATTGCAAAGCCTCCCCAACCCTATGGTACACTGTGAACTTGTATGAATGTGCACCATCAAAAAAACTAAGCCCAAGAGGAGGGACAGTAGAGGGATCTTTAGACCCTGAGCCTGGAATAAACCAGCCTCTCTCTACAGCTGGTAGTGGGAGACCTTGGCCCAGGGGGGCAGCAGCCCCGCCTGAAGGTGCTTAAAGGACCCGCAGTGCTGAGTGAAAGCCCACTACCTGCACTGCCAGCCGCTGCTGTCACCTTCCTCATGGAGCAGCACGAGCCCCGGACACCAGCTCTGGCACTCGCGTCAGGCCCTTGTGTGTATGTGTATAAGAATCTTAGGCCCTACTTCAAGTTCAGCCTGCCCCAGTTGCCTCCAAACCCCCTGGAACAAGACCTTTGGAACCAGGCCAAGGAGGTGAGTGATGTGGGGGATGAGAACAAGGAGATAAGGATGGCAGCTGCGGGGGGGGGGGGTCCTCATTCCTGCCTGGCTCTGGAGCTCACAGGCTCTACCTTCTTCCCATGCTGGCACAGGACCGGATTGACCCCTTGACCCTGAAGGAGATGCTGGAGGGCATCCGGTAAGAGCCCACTTTTCCCTTCATACACCCCAACCCCTCCCTCTCTCCCTCCCCCACCCTTGCTCCTTCATCCCGGAGCCTTCTGTCTGACCCCAGGCCCTGCTCCTCAACTAAAGCAGCTGTGATGGTCCCTCTCCTTCCAGGGAGAAGGCAGAGGTGCCTTTATCTGTACAGTCACTCAGGTAAGGGCCTTGTGGAGGGCCAGGGCTCCAGAAGCCCCCGGGGAAGGGAGTGGCTGTGGAGTGGCCTGTGGAGGGCACCCAGCCCAGGGCACAGGGATGTCAGTTCTTTGTGTGTCCAGGTTTCTGCAGCTGGAACTGAGTGAAATGGAGGCATTTGTGAACCAGCACAAGTCCAAGTCCATCAAGCGGCAGGTAATGTCCCTTCTCTGCTTACTTCCCTACAAAAAATACAGGCAGTTTTTAAAAAGACCATGCAATGGTGGTAAATTCTAAAGCCAAACCTGACTAGTTTTACTTCACAGTTTTCCTTCTAGCCTGTGCTGCATACATATAGTCACAAGGCTGCAGGGTCTTCTGCATTCCCGTTATTGGTGACAGCTTTGAACTGATATGTAGTTGTATAACTTTTTATAACTTTTATTGTCTTGGAGGTAAATACATTCTCATTGGAGAAAATTAAGAAAATAAAGAGAAATATAAAGGAAGAATATAAATATACAATCTCACTACTTAGAGGGACTCACTCTTACCATTTTGGTATACTTCCTTCGTGAATATGCTTTTATATACTGCTTCCCTTGTATGTAACATTATATCTTGAGCATTGGTCTTTAGAACTCCATTTTTAGTGGCCCCTTGATTGTTTCATTGATTATTC